GTACTATTCCTTCTGTGATTATATAAAGTTACATATGAATACGATTTGTTTTAGCTTACAGATAATATTTTAATCATGAATGGTATAATTCCTGAAATGGAACAAATTATCAGTCAACTTGAAAGAGGGACTGTAGTAACAAAGTTTTTTTCAAGAAAGAGACCAGAGAAAAAGACTCTTATGATCAGAAGAGAAACAAGACAAATTGTATGGTCAAGGAGTGCAACATTTAGGCCTTTTGATGGTTCAGGTAAAACTGTTTAAGCCTTTAAAAGGAGTTACCAAATAATTTTTAGTTCAACAGCATCTTATGTTTGAAGAAAAGCATTACAAAATTTTCCTTTACTATTCTTACGTATCTGGTGAACATCTGCAAAAATGTTTACTCAGTAATTTGCATGTGGTTAAAATAAATTTCCACCTAATATTCTAGGCAAAAGATAACATGATTATGAAGATATATCCACAGGAAAAATGGGCAAAATATTATCTGAGGATACTAGTTATAGGTCAAAAACCTGAAGGAAAGGTCCTTGTGAATAATGTATATGGGTGAGTTTATGAAGTAAGATACAATCTAAATCAGTTAATCTTGTAAGCTTTCATATACATGTTTTACGTCTGATGTTTAATTAAATAATCTTTTTTTTCTGGCTTGATTATCATTAAATGTATTTGTACGTCTACCTTAATGGACATTTCCTTCATTTTTGGTCTACAAACAAATATGCCCATGAATACTGTTGATATATTGGATCAGCCCTATTGGATGTCATGGGTATTTGATTAAAAATGAAACTGTTGTAATATTTCTTCTGCACTCATTGTGTATATATTCTTCAAATGCTTAATATTCACACACGACTATATTTTTGCACATACCGATATACATATAGTACATATGTGACACATACACAAACTGACGCTCGCGCGTGGTATATGTATAATATACAAATTAAAAAATGTTATAATGTATTGTGTTCAATCACACATGAATTACCCCTATCTAAGTATTAAACAAAATTTTATGCTTTGTAATTTTAGTTGAGATAAGAGAGATCAAAGAAATAAAGGTAGGGAAGCATTCTAAGGATTTTGAGAAATGGCCAGAAGATGCAAAGAGGATAGAAAACCTTAGGTGTTTTGTCGTATATTATGGTTCTGAGTTTCGCCTTAAAACTCTTTCAATTTCTGGTAAATATATTTTTGTCTTTTCATTCTTTACAAACTTCATTTTGATAGTCGTCTACTTATTTGTCTTGATTTCAGCTCTCAGTGAGAAAGAATGTGAACTTTGGGTGAAAGGATTACGTCGTTTGGTTCACGATACTGTAAAGGCTCCTTATCCTCTGCAAGTTGAAAGATGGCTGAGGAAAGAATTTTACGCAATGGAGAATTCAAGAGAAACGTAACAATCGATATTGTAGTCATGATTTTGTATTCCTTTGAAAATATTTAATTCGATGTCTCTTATTTTACAGAGTAACTTTAAAAGATATAAAAGCATTTTTACCTAGAATTAATTGTAAAGTAGCAACCAATAAACTTAGGGAAATCTTTCAAGAAATAGATACAAGAAACAGAAATGAACTCGGTTTCGACGATTTTGTTGCGCTCTATCACAAACTTATGTTCGATCAAAGTGTAAGTCCTTAATGCAAGCTCTGTTATTGTCATCTGTACATCTTGTATTATATACTATTCATTTATTTTTATAGAATCTCACAGATTGGAATAAATTACTTACTTATTCTAAAACTGGACAGATTTTTACCGTACAAGAATTTCAGAAGTTTTTAATAACTGAACAACAAGATTCCTTAGGCAATAATGAAGTTGAAGTATCTTGCTTCATTAGGGATTATTTGCAAGATCCTCAAAGAGATGTGCAAGAACCGCATTTTACCTTTTCGGAATTTATCGACTTTTTATTTTCGAAACAAAACTCTGTCTGGGATTCCAAATATTCTCGAATTTATCAGGATATGACCAAACCGCTCGCGTATTATTGGATAGCTTCATCGCACAATACGTAAATATATTTTTTTAATAATGATACATATTGTACCTACATAACATAATTAAATAAAATATTCTTACAGGTATCTAATGGGAGATCAGATTAGCAGTGAAAGCAGTTGTCAAGCATATGTTCGCGCATTGAGAACTGGATGTAGATGTATAGAACTTGATTGCTGGGATGGACCAGACGGAATGCCATTTATTTTCCATGGGCACACCCTTACCACAAAGATCAAGTTTCTGGACGTTATTAAAACTATTAAAGAACACGCTTTTGCCACATCTGAGTAAGTACAATTAAGTTCAATGTTTATTCAATTTATAATTTATTAAATTTATATATATATGTACATTTTTTACAGTTACCCAGTTATTTTATCTATTGAAGATAATTGTACGCTACCTCAGCAACGCAAAATGGCTATTACAATGCAAGAAGTGTTTGGTGATATGCTGCTGGTCCAACCCGTAGATAAAAATGAAACTTGTTTACCCTCACCACATGAACTCAGAAGAAAAATTATATTAAAACATAAGAAGTTACCCGATGGCGTTGATGAGTCGTCATTTCTTATTCGAAATGATGAAAATCGACCTGAGATGGATCTTAGAAATACGGTCAAAAATGGCATTCTCTATCTTGAGGATCCTGTTGATAGAGAATGGAATCCACATTTTTTTGTATTAACGCAACAAAAGCTGTTCTACACAGATACATTCTCCAGAACTCAGGAAACTGAACATGATGACGACGAAGAAAGTATAGTTCGTCGGCCGACTGATGTATGTATCCGTGGTATGATTAAATATTAATCGAAATATTTAATCTTCCTTTCGATTGTACTGTAGGGTATACCAAATGATGAGTTACATTTTGGAGAAAAATGGTTTCATGGGAAACTAGCAAGGGGCAGAGAAGAAGCGGAAGAACTGTTACGACGCTATTCGCATCTTGGAGATGGCACATTTTTAGTTAGACAATGTGTTACATTCGTAGGTGATTACTGCCTCTCCTTTTGGCGCAAAGGGAAGGTGAATCATTGCCGCATTAAGCTGAAACAAGAAATGGGACAGACGCAATATTATCTTATTGACACAAACTGCTTTGACAGTCTATACAGTTTAATTACGCATTATCGCACTCATCCTTTAAGAAGTCAAGTATGAGTAGTTGACATTTTTAATTACGTTTAATCATTATTTCAAAGTGTTTTGATTAACACACCTTGTGATATTAATAGGAGTTTTTAATCACGCTTCAAGAGCCAGTTCCACAACCAAATAAACATGAAGAGAAAGAATGGTGGCATGCCGAGTGCACAAGAACTTTAGCCGAAGAAATGTTAAAATGCATTCCTACGGATGGCGCATTTTTAGTAAGACCGAGTGAGAAAGAAAACAATTCTTATGCCATATCTTTTAGGTAATATAATTATTATTACTGATGTTAGATTCTTATTTCTCAGTGGTATTTTAATCGTTCCTGTATTTCTGCTTTATCCAGGGCAGAGAGAAAAATTAAACATTGCAGGATTAAACTAGAAGGCCGTTTGTATACTATTGGTACTGTACAGTTTGAAAGTTTGGTTGAATTAGTTAATTATTACGAAAGACATCCGTTATATAAAAAAATTAAACTGAGCCATCCCGTAAATAAGGATGTCATGAAAAGTATGGAGTTGGTACGTAAAACTTTTGTCATATCATATATATATTATTTATTCAGATATTATTATTATTATTTAATCATACCCAGGATGTAGACGACGGATCTGTGTATGGCATCCCCGGCTATATGGACCCTTCAAGCTTCACATCAAAAGTAAGTATTGTAAGTGAATAAATTGTATTTACAGATAGATAAGACACGCAATTCGCATTTCAGGTAACTGTAAAAGCTATATACGATTACAAAGCAAGGAGAGAGGACGAATTAACGTTAGTAAAGCATGCTATAATAACAAATGTACATCGGCAAAGTGGTGGATGGTGGCGTGGGGATTATGGGGGTAAAAAACAGCATTGGTTTCCTGCGAATTATGTAGAGGAAATAGAGCCACAGGATAATCAAGGAGATGTACGTCTTTTATAAGACTCTTCTGCTTTAAATGTTACCAATAACACGCAACATACATTCTTCTATTTTTGTTATCCAGTCGACAGATTCTATGATGTTCGGTAGTCTACAAAAAGGTTCTTTGGACATTATGGGCGCTGTTGCCGAATTAAGGGTAGGTGGAAAGCCTGGATTAGAATGGATACTGAGAATACAAAATCCTAGCATGTGCTCGGTGTTCGAAGTAGCAACATCTTCCAAAGAAACAGCGCTAGAATGGATGGCTAGCATTAAAGAAACTGCTCAAAATGCTAGTGTCAGGGTAAGCATATAATTTGTCACTACTAAAAAACGTGGCTAACAGCATTAGTAAGTCAGCGTTGTTATTTTATCTCAGGAAAATCAACATAAAGAAATGGAACGGGCATGGCGAATAGCTAAAGAAATGTCGAATCTAATAGTTTATTGTAGGTCAGTTGCATTTAATTTAGAGAGAATAAAAACTAAAGGTTTCATATTTAATGAAATGAGTAGCTTTCCTGAAACGAAAGCTGAGAAGCTTATGTGTCAACAAGAAAACAAATTTTTCGTGAAATATCATCAGGTAAAATATCAAAAACTTATGACAAGTTTTATCTTCAATTTCGAAAACAAGCATGATCATGACTGTAATTGTTTAGGTACAATTTAGTAGAGTATATCCAAAAGGACAACGTATCGACTCATCAAATTATAATCCTGTGCCTATGTGGAACGCGGGATGTCAAATGGTAGCACTGAACTATCAAACTGGCGACAAGTCAATGCAACTTAATCAGGCAAAATTTAGAGAAAATGGAAATTGCGGTTACATTTTAAAACCTGAGTTTATGTTCAGGGATGAATTCAATCCTTATGATAAAGATTGTTTACACGGGGTAGAATCGCTTAAATTTTCATTAAAAGTAATTGGAGCGAGACATTTAATCAGATCAGGAAGAGGTATAGCTAGCCCTTTCGTCGAAATTGAAATAATAGGAGCGGATTTCGATTCTGGTTCAAAACTGACAACGAGAACTATAAGTAAGATAGAATTACCTCGAAACTATGTAGTTACGCATTTTAATACGTACAAACTAATGGTATTAAAATTATAGCTGACAATGGGTATAATCCTATGTGGAATGAATCTTGTGAGTTCGAGGTTTTTAATCCGTACTTCGCATTCATACGATTCGTCGTTCAAGATGAAGATATGTTTGGTGACAGTAATTTTATTGGGCAAGCTACATATGCCGTACGTATAAGTAATTATCAAATAATTAACTGAGTATTATTATTTCTTTCATTAATGTTATACTCAGGTTCGATGCTTACGATCGGGATATAGAAGCATCCCATTGCAAAACAATTACAGCGAGGATCTTGAACTCGCATCCTTGTTGATACATCTTCGAATTACGCCCTCAGGAGTGAGTATGAAATTTCCGATACTGCAGTTTAAATATTTTACCTGAATTATGTTTTCTATGTTAATTATTGATTTACAGACAAATTCATAATCTATAGAAACTATCCCAAACTCTATGTTAACTGCAAGTCACTTGCATATCAGGATTAGACAAAGGTAAAAATTTTACTTCACAAAGTAATTATTATATACTTTTTGCAGTATGTATTATAGCAGTGCGTAACTTTTATTATTTCAGATTATTTAATATGAATAATACTGCATGAAATATTTTAATTAGAATTTGAAACAAGTTAAAACATTATTAGAAAAGACTGGCTATTTACGAGAACTCAAATCGTCGAACTCAAATCAGTGATTATACGGGAGAATATAATTTTATCTTGCACATTAGATAGTCTAGGAACGTTATTGTTATGTATATAATGGGAGAAAAATAATAATTGTTACAGTATTGAAAAAAATGGATGTTAAACAGAGTTAAAAAATGCAATATCTTTAAAGAAGTGACATATGACAGAGATATTTATTATGTAGGAGGATTTCAATCAAATCTTCGGAACATCCTTTTTTTTACTTTAAAAATTTCATAAATCAATTGCATCAAACTAGAATAAGTGTTAAAAAAATATCAATGTGATTTAGCATAGAATAAAACTTTTTATGAAAAATAATATATCAAGCGTTTACATGTCAAGGTGTGCCTTTAGTTAAAAGAATAAACAGATGCAACGAACAATTTTTCAAGCTATGATATATTCTGAATATTTTAATATGCACAATTGCAATAATATTTTCATACAATTAGTGCTATTTATTTATTACTGTAATGAAAAATAGTTTTAAAATCGTGATACATAAAAATATATTGAGAGGCTGATTAATAAGTAATAGAAATCACTACTTCTCAAATAAAATTTTAGACTTCACGCTACATGAAATGAAATTTAAATAGACTTAAATAATGCATCATAGAATTACATATTTTCCACTAGAATCGAAAAATCGAGGACTGTTAAATAGACTAACATAAGATTTTTACTAAACATTACATGACAATATTATTTTTCATTGATCATGCCCATTTTTTGAAATTAAATCTTTTCTATAGCTATTCTTAATTGTATTGTTATACATGTATAGTGAGAAATAATATTATTATAAGCTAACTCTTCCAAAACTGTGCAACTGTTTGATATGATTTTTTATACACTTTATTATATGCATTACTTATTATCATTATAATGAATTTGTATTTTGCTTCCTTAATATGTCAATTTTAATTTATTCTAATCGAGTCTTTCGCATAAAAGTATGTTATAGTTGGGCCGACATCCAGCTAATGTGCCTTAATTTTATAAACATTTACTTAAACATATTACGACACCGATTGATTACGTTTATTTTTACTTACATGTGATTGAGAGGATAAAATGTTCTAACGCTGTATGAAAAGTGTACGCATATGGAAAATAAATACAAATATATTTATTAGACACCATTTTATATATGTACATAACAACTACACAGAAATAGTATANGATGTATATAAAAACCATAATATATAATTTATCAGATATGCATAACAATTGTAAATTATATTTTTGCTTAACTAAATAGGGATAAAGGAAAGTACATTTTGTTACGCAGAACATCCTGATGCACTGATATCGAGCGTTCGGACTAAAGAATGTAAAAAAAATAATGATTTATGTTTGTTCGACTTCGGTTTTAATGAAATTATAAAGTCTTCTGGAGATATTCATCGAACAAGAACAGAGACATATGTGGATCATGTTCAGCTAACAAATATTTCAAATCACTTATAAAGCCTGCCAAGTTTCGTATGCGTTCTGTTAACGATCCTAAGAATTTCTCTTCGATATAGTGAGTAATGGAAGCATCATGGTTGGTATGAGGCTGTGCCCTTGAATGTATACGTATTGCTTCTTTCGCGAATTGCTTCTGAATATCAAGAGCTTTAGCTAAGCTTTCAATTTCGACGAATTCAATAACTCTACTCTTATTATGCTAAAAAGAGATGCCATAAAATTAGTTAATCATTTTTACACAAATTACGAAATATGGGGCATATAAATGAACATACCGGAAGTTTGAACTCTGGGAACTGATTGAAATTCATTTGTCCACCTCGTTTTGTAATAAATTTGATTATATCAATTGCATCCTCCCACATTTCATCAGAAAATTTACGATATAGCTTCTTAAATCCTTCACGTTGATTTTCATAATTCCCAAAATAGCTGGAGTATAATAAGAACTCAAAACTGGAATCAATATAAGCATTTGCATATCCTTGGAGATCAACTAGAAGATTATCAATAGCCCCATATTTGGCATTACAGTTTTGCACTAAAGTCTGACCTAAGAATGAAAATACATTTTAAATACTAATTCTATGTATTATTTTAAATAAAAGAATGTAAATTCATTTTTTTTACTATCTGGATTAGCATTGGAATTGCAACTAGCGTGTACATCGGTATAGCACACTTCACTGGCAGAGGCAACTGCCAGAAGAGTAAGTAACAGCCCAGAGAAGAACATGTTTCCTGTAACTAATAAATCATTTCAATGTACTATATACATATATGTAAATTAGCTATTAATACTAATACTAAGTAAATTAGCTTAAACAGTTTACAGAGATAACTTCGGGCTTATACGATTACATCGCAATGCAGTGAATGAATGAATCTTGTATAACGATAGTAAAAGGAGTACACATACGATAGATTAAGTTAAATTACTGATATAACGTAACTTGAAGATTCGAACATAATCTTTACTATTGCGTCACATGTCTTTGTAAAAAGAAAATATGATATTACTACTGATATCAATTACTGGGCAATCCCGCTAACGATGATAAAATGCGCAGTTATATCGCGTATCAAATGAAAAAATGGAACAGAAAAAAATATATGATCTTCGTAACAGTGTTAATTTTATACGATATTTATAAGTAAGTATATATTATAGCGACACAAAGTTAAAGTACTCGCGTACTACATACCTAACTAATACAACGTACTCGTTTGAGAGGAAGAGACGTGAATACTCTCGCTTCGACGGTCTTCCAACAATGAGTACCGAACAACGAACAACCGAGTTCGTTGGTAGTTTTCACACAATCATAGTCAGCTGATAGGGATAGCGCATGCGTGATAGAAAGGGAACGGAAAATTCCAGATATTCCTCGTTGATTAAAGTACGAATCAAGTGGATACGAATAGTACAACGCATTTGTTGGTCAATTACTTATTCAATGATCGATGGCCGCACATCGTGTTTAGTTAACGTACGCACATCTCCTTATCTAAGTAGCTTCGCTAAAGGCAGCCTTCTATATCAGTGCATATAAAGGTTGCTACCGAAACAGACAAATAGCAAGTATCCTCTGTCTATCGAAAATAATTCAAAATGAAGGTGCTTTACGTTTTCCTCATCGCTTTCGTCTGCATCAACGGATCGGTCGGGGTATATAAGCTCGAGAAAGTCCAATGTAAGTCAGTTATTTATTTTACTATGTTTAATATTGCTCTGAATGTTTGTTAATCATCACAATGTCGATTTAGGTTAACTACGTATTCCTCAACAGACTCCATTGTCCCCTATTGTTTCTATTTATAAGATCGATATTTTTTAATGGATTCTAAGTAGACAATTTTATATTTATTCTTTTGAAGACAATAAATCTATGAACGCAATGTACATTCAGTGCTATTAATACATATTAGTATTTAATTATGTATATAGATTCGTATAAGGCAACGCGCATAATGTTCGTAAACAATTTGTCAATTCAGGCGTAATTACGAGATAGTAAACATTTTCTTTTACTTCTAAATTCTCTTTACAATGTTAAATTATGTTTTGGAACGGAATGGAAATACTGTTAAAATCTAAATGACCTTAATGACAAATGTTAGTAACCTGTAGTTGTAAACGTTATTCATTTCCATGTTGCTTCATCACGATGGAATGGTAATTTTTGTGTTATAAAATTTCTGTAACATCGTGAAGTAAATTTTTAGTACGTCTGCGTTCCTCTTTTTATTTCCAATTAGGAGAATAAATTTATACGTATGTTGTCCGTTCTAAATTCTAACAATTCTTGTTGCTACAGATACTTTGAACATCGTATTAGTCATAGCTTGTGCAATTTCGTATTTTCCTTTGTCTCATTTACATTTATAGACGTTATCAAAAATTGGTCAGCATCCTAGATATTGTGCAAATGACTAACCGTATGATGCAATTCATTTTTTTATATCAGCTCTTATTCTACTGGTTATCTTTCATCGTACTCTTTTGTTATTTCGTATGTTGTAACATTTATTCTAAACGCTTCGCCGTCATTCTTAACTACATGCAAGTTATTCGTTTTATGCAACGTGATTCCATTTTTAATATTTTTATGACCTAATTAGAAATTATCTCATTGTACGCATGTACAAAGATAAGATTCTAGACGCACATCGTTATTAGCCTTCGGTTAATATTATACCACTGCAAAATAAAATTACGTCGCATTGCATAAATGAATAAAATAATAAGGAATTTCACATTTTCTGTTGTTAATATAAGATTAATAATAACATTCTTACAATTATAATGTTAGAATTATACTTATCTTTCTTATCGAGAATTTATTTTAAGTATGCATATCGATACTTACAATTGATTTTGTTTTAAATTTGTGAATACTCTGACAAACAGAGAGTACTTTGCGAGAACTCTTATGATTAAAGACTGTTAACTGGTGATTGTTACTGACAATCTTGTTTGCACAATGATAACATGTGATGATAAGCTTTACGTGACGATATAAGCGTATTGATTACTGCAAATTCTAAAGTCCACGTTCAACATGTACAGTACATTGTTCTAAGAAAAGTTGATAATTTAATCGTAACTACTTTATGTCACTGACTTCCGTTTTATCATTGCAGAGGCTACATTTTCCTTTCGTTATTCTTATTCTTAACTATATTAATGATTTATATATTATATGATATATTTTCTATTATTGCCGATTCTCATTTTAAAATCATTTTTAGGTACCCATGCAGGTGGGAAAGTACCACCAAAATGGTTGGATATGGTTAATGATTGTACCGTGATTTTGGAATCACAATTAAAGAATGAAACTGAAGCTGCTATGACTTATCTAGCAATGGTAATTGCATATAATCTCATTATCCCATTATATACGTTTTGTAGATGTGTTATATTTGTATATAATGCTTATTTTTAGGGTGCTCACTTTGCTCGTGACACCGTTAATCGTCCTGGATTCAGCAACTTCTTTTTTGATTCAGCTAGTGAAGAAAGACAACATGCAATTAAAATCATTGAATATCTATTAATGCGTGGTCAGTTAACAAGCAATAGACCACTTCTGGATTTCCCCTTGGTACGTATACCTAATGTTTTTTTGTTCTTATTGCAAATTTCATATTATATCATATTGAAAATGTAATAACGTTACTTTCAGAAACCATTGAAAGAACAATGGCAGAATGGATTAGAAGCACTTACAGAGGCACTTGACTTGGAGGCTCAGATTACACAAAGACTTCACAGTATTAATAGAAAATGTGAAAAACCAGGCGGTGGCAGCAAGTTCAATGATTATCATGTAAATAATACGTTTAAAGTAGTTTGTACTTATTGCTTTAGATTCATATCATTTCTATTTAATCGTTTAATTTAATTTATCGTTTCAATTTCAGTTGGTGGACTGGCTTACAGGAGATTTCTTGGATGAACAATACAAAGGAGAACGAGATTTA